GGCCTGGGCGCGCGTGGCGACGGAGACGCCGCGGGGGATGGTCCGGCCCGTCCTGCACGACCCCGCCGACGAAGACGAAACGGACGAGGAGGAAAAGGGCGCGGGGGCGCCGCTGATGTTGTTTAAAAACCTCCGCCACCCGTTGCTGGAGCTGCGGAATGCCGAGTTCGTGGCGAATTCGCTCCAGCTGCGCGCGCGGGGGGGGCGGGGGGTGATTTTGACCGGCCCGAACATGGGCGGGAAGTCGACTTTTATGCGGAGCGTCGGCATCGCGGCGGTGCTCGCCCAGGCGGGGTGTTTTGTCCCCGCCGACGCCGCCGAGCTGCAGCTTCGCGACGCCGTGATGTGTCGAATCGGCGCGACCGACCACCTCGCCCAGGGCGTCTCCACCTTTATGGTGGAAATGCTGGAGTCGTCCGCGATTCTGTCCAGCGCGACGCCGCAGACGCTGGCGATCGTGGACGAGCTCGGCCGCGGGACCTCCACCTACGACGGGTTTGGGCTGGCCTGGTCGATCGTGAAGGATATCGCCGTCCGCATCGGCGCCACGGTGCTCTTCTCCACCCATTTTCACGAGTTGACGGCCCTGCCGGCGCAGTGCGGGTGTTTGCTAAACGCCCACTTCGGCGCGGAGATCGACGACAAGAAGGGGACGCTGCGCTTCTCCTACCGCGTCGAGCCCGGGCCTTGCGAGCGAAGCTACGGCATCGAGGTCGCCGCGCTTGCAAAGATGCCCGAAAAGGTGGTGGAGAATGCCCGAAGGAAAGCCTCAGAGCTGGAGAACTTTGAGACCCTCGCCTCGACGTCGAGTTTGGGGCGAACGCCCTCCGATAAGGACGCCCCGCTGCGCAAGCTGAATCTCGAAGCTCTGGACAACGAGACGATCTCGCGGATCGCGGGCTACGCAAAGCGAATTCGGGCCCTCGATTTCTCCCATATCGGCAGCCCGGAGGAGCGCGAGGCGATGCTGAAGGAATTGAGGCGGGAAATCGAAAAGGATTCCGCGGCGCTTGTGTTGATCCATGGGAAATAAACCGCAAGAAACTTCCATTTACCGCCCCCTCCGAACGCGTTCACGAACGACGCGGCTCTACCCTTTACCACCGACGGTCTCCCGGGCAAATCAATAGAACTCGAGAAATGCGTCAGCACGCATTTCATGGGTAGTTCCAAGGTGAAAAGCAAAAGCGATAATGGTGTTTTAATTCTGGCATTTTGGTAAAGTTTAGGAACGGAGTGCAAAGCGATAAACGCCGCAGATTCTTTAATGACATGTGGTATTTGTCCTCTAGACTTGTGTTTTCGTGAAATAGAAATAAATAAAGTAATTGGCATTCGACAAGAAAACAGGTTTCTGACATAAAAATGTGATACAAACAACAGCAAATTGCTCTCCGAATGATGTCTTTTTTTTCCCATTGCAGATACGCACGCACGCGATGGAAATCCAAATTGTTCTTATCTTTTTTTAAAATTTTATGGTGTTTGGTAAAGTTAAAACGACGCCAAGTAGACCTTAATTTAGGTCAGCTTCTCCCGCCAGGTTGGGATTTTTTTTACTCTTGCCCCTTTTCTCTCCGACTTCTTTGACTTACCGCCTCGGACCAGCACCCCAACCCCGTACTATCCATGATGGGTATCCTGAATTCGATTGTTTTTCAGCCCCAAAGCAAGGAATCGGATATCCTATTCACCTATCTTTGTCGAGTTAAACGCTACATGTCGTACGTCCCCATGCCAACCGGGGAATGTTTATACTACATCCACATCGAAAACAATGAACACGGGGGGCGCTCTCCCTCCGAGGGCACCAGTACGCCGTGGACTCAGAACAACGACATCCCCAACTCGGGCGAGGGGGGTGTGGAATCTCCACCTCGGAAGCGAAATAACTTTGTTATTTTGTATAGTCATGGGAATGCCGAACATCTTGGAATCTGCTATAACATTCTGCGCTGGCTATCGATTCTTTTACAGGTTGACATTATTGGATATGACTACCGTGGCTACGGCTTCTCAAAAAATCCCCAAGCGAAGACCCCGTTCGGCCCTACCGAAAGCTCCGTATACGTCGATGCCGATTGTATTTATGAGCAGGTACTTGCACTGGGCTATCACCCCAGCCAAATTTTTCTTATGGGGCGTTCGTTGGGTGGAGGCCCGGCGTGCTACTTGGCGGAAAAACATCACCAAAGCATCGCCGGACTTATTTTAGAATCCACCTTCTCCTCCTGCATTCGGGTCGTCTCCGCAAGTTTCCTTCCTTTCTGCTTCGGCTGGTTAGACATGTTTAGAAATGTAGATCGCATCAAAACCATTACGGGGTGCCCAATTTTATTCATTCATGGCAAGAAGGATAACGTCGTGCCGATTCGCTGTTCCCAGCTTCTTATGTTGATCGCGCTCAAAAAACGACAGCCCCCCAAGAAGAAAAAAATCCAAACCAAGAGGACTTTCCTATCCTGGCTGGGCTGTGCCTCGGTCGGCGCCTCGGACCCTGCACTGGAGCCCCAAAGACGATCCTCTTCGTCCAAATTAGATGGCAGCCCGAACGCCAAGAGCGATCCCAAAGACCACAAAGAGGGCTGTGAAATAGACCCAGCTTGCAAAAGGATGGAATCCTTCAAAATAGAGGATCCCCAGCTCCATCCGCTTCGTCTTATGGAACTTCACAGTCTGGAGACTTCGGTTATGGAGAGCATCCCATCCCTCCTCACCCACGACGGCGAGGAGAATAGGCCGAACAGTCCTTCATCCCGGCGGATATCTTTGGATCAATGCAAACCGTCCTCAAAGGGTCCGCATTCTTCCGAGACATCGAAGACTTTGGATCCCAAACGGGCAGATCAATCAACAACGCGCAAAAATCAAAAAAAAAACGGGAGTTCGGTCGTGGGCGGTTCGGTGGCTTCTAAACCAGCGGCGCCCTCCAACGCCTGCGCGCCGGTGAATTTTTCTTCCCGTCCCGCCCTGTCGGATTCGCTCGAGGAAAACTTGGGAATGCGATTGGATGAGGCAACTTCGACGGTCATCAGGACGAAGGAGGAGGAAATGGGGATCTTCCACCACTGGTTTGAAGATTGTGGACACAACGATATCGAGACACGAAGCACCGAACACTTTTTCCTTGCGCTGAATCGATTTATAAAATACGCTTCGGTGTTGAAAAAGTCTAAAGCGCACAAATCGGCAAAAAATTCGCCCTTTCATTTAGATATGGAGGAAATGAAGCCTATACAATGACAGTGATCCTTCATTTTATGTTTTTACATTTTCAAATTCGACATGAAAGATAAAATATCTTGGTGCGCAATACAACCGTAACTCTCCCCTGAACGTTTTAATGGTATTAAGCTGAACAGTTATACTTAATTAGCATGGGTGTTAATTTTTTTCCCCCAATATGTATGTTAGGTTCTACACTTGCACACCTGTGTATACAAAAAAAAGTCATACTATATAATACCAAACACGAAAACGATACGCCGTTTGTTATCTAGCTAAGCTTTCTATGGTTATTAAGCGTGTTTTTTATATTTTACTGGTGCATTTTTCCTTGCATGAGGTAGCAGTGCATCGCTTACTATTCTTTCAAGACTGAAATCTCAGCCTACCATTGCTCTCTACCTCTTGCATCTCGGCACTATGAGCGAAATAATACGAAGATTTAGATTAGTTAAACGCGTATTTTTAAGTGGTAAACAGCAACCGAACTGAAATCGAAAAGAATGAAAATAAAGCTTTTGAAGCTATATTTTCCGAGGTTGCAAGATTTCATTACCCTTTGAGTTGTGGTCTTCTATTTACTATTAAAAACACGCATATACAAGATATCTCTAGGTATGCATCAGGAATGGAATGAATATATTAGATATAAAGTGTTAATAAACTGAGATGATTAAAAAAAAATGTATCCCTATCTACATTTAGCTTTTCATGAGCAGAAACACTCCCTTTATTTGACGATTGTCTAGAAGTTTTTGCAACTCAGGCAAGCATTGATATTCTAAAATAAATGTATAATATATTGCGTGATACAAAATCCATTTATAGTTATTAGGATGTATAGTGGAATACTCCATGTGGGGCGAAAGAGTCCTTTACAGCCCTCTGGCATCAATTTTTTAACTGATTCCTACACCACAACCCACGAACCTCTTCAGTCTCTTCTGCGGGAGTGGCAAGTTCTGAACCGCAAAATTCACGAAAAAGTATCCATGCTGCAGTCCAAGAAGCCGCGATCACCGTGTGCAAACGAACTTTTACGAGGTGGGAGGCCCAATACGGCCTCCAACCCCAGCCCCGAAGGCGTTTGGAAGGATCCGTACTTCAATCCCGGAATGGGAAATGCTCCGCAGGGAATTGAGGCCTCCTCCAACGCCTCCTCGGCCTTTTTCGAGCGTTCTTTGGACTCCGCCTCGTCCACCTACACGGCGCATGAGCGCCATACCCGATATTCGAATATCGGCACCGCCTATCGCCAGGTCTCGGAGCCGTATGGTCGATACCACGAAATTGAACGGCAGCGAAAATTTATCAACGAATACAAGCGACTTGCACGGCCGTTTGTTCCGTCCAGCGCCTCGATGGATATTTTGAATAAACCAACGCGCCTGCTTCTCGGGGATTGCGTGCGCGATGTCTATCAAAGCATCGCATCCGACTGGAAGGAGGCCCATCCGATCGTCATGTCCACGGCTGAGGATCTTATTGTGGTTTATGTTTCCTTGAAAGCTCTTACCCGACGGAAGTCGCTTCTTCTTTTGCGGTACATGAACGACGCCTTAAAACGCTGCGCGGTGATCTCGCGCTATGGCCTTACCAAAGTCGTGGAGGGATGGAATGTATTGACGGACGATGGGTATCTGATGTACACTTTAAGGCCGGAGTGGGTAAAAGGACAACGATTCCTACCACCCCCGGTGGTGACCCCTGAGCCGGATAAGTTCAACTAATGTGTATTTATCATTGTTTCTTTTTGTGTGTGTGTTTTCGTGGTAATTATAAGAAACTGGGAGGTGACAAGAAAATAAAGAAGTCAAAGCGTAGGACGTTTCAAAAACGATTTATGTGAGGATTTTTATCTACTCTTAGTAGTCCACTGTGAAGACACAAAATAATTCAATCTATATTATCATCAATTCTATCTGTTTATATTCATTATCTGCCTTTTCTACTGAAATTGGATTATAAATAAATTTTGTGCTTTTTATTTTGCTTTCTTGGCCACTTTTATTGTCTTTTTTGATAAGCAACAAGGAATTTTGCTTTTGCTTTTTACTATTATTTTCTTAGTATCTATGAAAGGCGTATGTGACCGAACTGTTGTGGTGGACGATAAATAAATAGAAATTTTGAGGTTAACCTTTTTGTATTATTATTAAAAAACTAGGTGTGATGAACCCTAATGCAGCACCATATAAGATTACCTTTGCAATGGAAAAGATAAGCAAGGACACTAGCATTACCAGTAGCAGTCCCCCACAACTCTTCCGAGGTTCGATGATCACCGCCGCGGACTATCTTCGACAACTTCGAATGATGGAAGAACGCCATAACAAACCTGAAGACTATAGGCCCCAACCCGATTCGATAAACCTACCACAGAGTAGTATATGTATTTCATCGAGCGTATCGGACTTTCCACAGCGGGACCTGCGATCGAAAGTGATTCGCTATTCTAAAGCCGAACTTTTACAAATCCAAGAAACCGTCCTGCATGCCGTCGCGCATGGCCCCGTCGTTGATGTTCCGCCATTCAAAGGCGTGCCCGTCTCGCTTGCAGGGTTATTGAGGTTACCGTATGCGCTTGAATATATCGATATTGAGGCATCTGTGGCCCTTGCAAAGAATACCGGATTGTGTGCACACCCAACCTCTTGGGGTATGCCGGGCGTGGAAACCGCGATCTCGTCGGGATTCGCTATTTTTTCTTTCGACGATAGTCCGATGGGCGTCGCGGTGGATCGGGCGCGTGCGGGAAATACGAAAAATCTAAACGAACTTAACCGCGGCCCAGGGACGCATTTATGCCCTATTTGCGCACACGCATGCGGTCCGTGTGCCGTGCTCGACCCTGTCTTTCGGCAAATCACGCAGCGGCTCCTCCGGACGCGGCTTGGGGCGTGTTTGCTTCAGTCCGACAACGTCGTATGGGCGCAACTTCAGCTTGCGCTGGTCTTTGAGTCCAAGAAAAGCTCTCTGCGGATGCGTCTACTGGCCGAGAAACACCCCGCGGTCGTGCGCCGAGTGGGGGAATATCTTTACGGCGAGGGCTATCATCTGCGGCTGCCTGTCGTGACGGCGCACAACGAATGGAGGGAACTAACGAAAATGCTGAAATTCGACGCGATTCGCGACAATCTCACGCGCATCAAAACGGATCTGTCTAAACGGTGGCGGCAATACCATACGCCATTTGAGCAATTCGTGTTTTTTTTCTCTTTTCGCGATGACAGACCAAAAGGGGTGGTTAAGAATGTCGTGACGCAGTCTGTGAAGCCCGGTATGGTGGCGATACTGACCGGTGACCTTATGGCTATGTATCTTCTACACAAGCTTGGGTTTTTCATTCCGCCTGATTATTACTGGGAAGTATTTCTCTTCATGAAGCGTTCTGTAGGAAAGCATGGAACTCCACAGGACTTGGTGAGGCACTTTGCTCTGCACTTATCTTCGAAGCAGTGTCCAAATATCTTCAATCCAGTTGAGAATATTCGTATAGGAACCAAAGGGTTTGTAAGTTGAGAGATGGATATATTATTGGCAACTATAGCTCTTAACCCAAAATCATAGCAGTGCTATATATAGCATCAGTAATTAAACAATAGATGCCAACTTTTCAATTACCCAATTTAAAGGTGGTAACTGCACTGTTTGCTTTTAGGGTTATTCATCTAATCCTTCAATTTCAACACTCTCATCTTTATTTCTAACTTTCTCAATTTTTCTCTAAATTTTATTTTACACAACTATAGCTGGTTTTCACCGCTCAAAAACGCTTCTAAAGGGTTGTTCACTTACAGTAGTCAACAACGTTATCATTTTTCTTTCTTTTTTTTAGATTACTTTGGTTTTGTACATTTTTTTTATAGTTTCTGGATTATTATTTTAAATTTATAGTATTATTTCAATACTTAGACTTTTTTATTTTAAATTATACACTATTACTTTACTTTTGTACTACATCCATATCTCTTAATCAATATATATATATATATATATAACGAACAAATCATACGCCATTAGATACTTTCTCTTCATTTGTATATTTTATCAATATACATTTTGAAAAAGGCAATATCGATCGATCTGAGGGATATCGAATCGTAATTTTTTTGGTGGCATTGTATAATTGTACTAATTCTAGCATACATATAATATCGTACGGAATGATGAGTATAACCCTAGAAAGGGCATGTCAGCAATCACATTCTCATCATACCCAAGGAATTTCGGGTATGCAATCCACTCTAGTATCTAAGTCTATGTCGTTACATTCAAGACCTGTCAACACAACGCCTTATTTCGAACTTTCTAACCATTCAGCATGCGAACGCACGAAGTCTAAAATTAACAGTTTTAACCTTTCTCCGCCTGTTGAAACAAGGCTGGAACTTGGGACACAAGAAAATGATGAGTATGAGTCCCACGATGATGATATGAAAATGGGATCGGTGCGACTATCGCGGCACATTCCCCAAAGAGAAGGGATGGATATGTCGCTCTCAGCTTTCAATTTAATATGCAATATTTCAAATTCCACCTACACTGGACCCACAGCTTCGGAGATGTCGCATCCTCATGGCTCATCCGTTCCTATATTCCTTGATACAGCTACTCGGCAAGCTTTTTCAGTGTCCTCTACGCACACGCCTGTCGTTTCTTCAACTCTCACAAGCTTTTCAGCAGACTCACATATTTCAGATGATGATCATTACGCGGCCTCAATTTACAATGATATACTTGCCGAAAACCTGGCACTACACGGTGACAGTAAGTCCGGGGTCGCTCCAACTGGAAAAAATATTGACACGGAAGAGAACACAGGCTTAGGTCTTTTACACACTACGTCTGGTCGGCGTGGTATTGGCGGTGATGTATTTCGTTTTGGCGTGAATGCCTTTCACCATAGAACCGGGAGCAGTTGCACATCGAAGGGAGATCATAATCGAATATCCTCCGCGGCGTCTCCCTGTCGACTGGAACTGTCATCCCCGTCGTCATTTTCAACGCGCAGAAATCTAGCGATTCGGCACTCTTTACACACTTCGTCGAGCTCTGGTCGACAACAGCGAGTACTATTCACGAACCCTGAACGTATTTTGGATGCTCCGGGTTTTACCGAAACTGCTGCCCAGCTCATTGACTGGGGTAGTAATAATAAGTTAATTATTGGCCTCAAGGACAGCCTCTATTCCTGGGACGCGGAATCCCGCACGGCGGCGAAAGTCCTTCAGCTGCAAGGCGAAATGTGCATCGGTAATGTACATTGGCTTCATCGGTGTACCTGTATTGCTCTCAGCACAGGCGGCGGCACAACAGCGATTTATGACTGTTGTAGTGGTAATTTTGTCCGAGCGCTGCGCCTGCCTGCGGGGATGGAAGTGACGTGCCTAGATGTCAACGGACCTGTCCTCGCGGTGGCCTCGAACGGACCCACGGGTTGTACACAGGTGTTCGATCTCCGCGCGAAGAACGCGCTGATCGCCAGCTATGAGGGCCACTCTGGACCAGTCAAAACCATGCAGTATTGCACAGCAGATCCATTTTATTTAGCAACCGGAGGCAAAGAAGGTGACGTATGTATCTGGGATTCTCGCCGCACAAATCAATTACGTTATGCCTTTGATGAAGTCCACAGAGGTCCCGTCTCAGCCATTTGCTGGAATCCTGAGAAAAGGAACAAACTCTTCACAGGTGGGAAGGATGGTGTGCTGCGGTTGATTGATACCCATGCAACACCGCGAACACAGGAAAACCATCCCATAGGAGGTGGATATGGCTATTTTTCTCGACCGAACATCTCAAGCTACGTGACCCAAGCAGTACAAACGCGATATCCCATCTCAGGTATCATTGCACAAGGGGAGGAGGTGCTGACGTCACACGATAAAAAAGGCCAGTTACAGCTCCGAAAAGTGTCAAACATCCATCTTACAGGTGTCTTCAGTGCCTTGGATTGTACCGCCGGACTCAGTTGCATGGTTCTGGCCCCCGATCAAGAATGCGTGTGCGCAGCACAAAGTAACGAAACGATTAAGTTCTGGAGGGTGTTTAACAAAGGCGTTAATAAACAAAGTTCTCAAGAATTCGAACGAGAGGCAGGGTCTGATTCTTATCTTTATGAACAACTTCGCTGAATTAACAACCAGTACTGTGTAAAAAAATGTAAAGGAAACAAACCAAAAAAGACATTACAAGCGTAAAAAATGTATCATTGTACCAAAAATATCAAAACGACAAAGTTTTTACTTGATATTAACTCGGAACGTCGCAGAAAAGTATATTAAATAATATACATCAGAAAAAGATAGAGTCAATGATTCTAAAAATATATATACATGAGCACAGAAAAAGATCGACTGTAGATTATATATTAAAACCGAAGAATAATAAAGATATAATCATTGATTGATTAATCTAGTTGTTTCTAAGTAGAAATAGATGTACTAAAATTAAAATCAACAACAGTCGAAATTTTGCTAGCCATGAGTTAGAACGTAAATTCTTCGTTGGATCGATAGCGTCTAATTGTAACCCATAATACAAGGAAATCAGTGTAACTAAAGGTAATATGTCAATGATACGAAGAGGGATAGACATCCCGATTGTTTTCCCCTGTTACTGGCTATGATCCTTGCACTTCCGGACAACTGCTTCATTTGAACTCACTCCTTTCTTATTCCTCTTTTTACCTATCTTCGCTGTCTCGACCACACTGGCTATTAGATTTCCACGCTATTAACAGTCTAAGATTTTCTAACAATTTAAAAACAAAGTACCCCCTATTTAAGCTCTATTCCAGCACTTATTATTATATATTTAACTTTTTTTTTAACCGTTTCACACAAAGTCAGATCTCGTAACCATGTCCGAAACATTCGCATTCCAGGCTGAGATCAACCAGCTCATGTCGTTGATCATCAACACCTTCTACTCGAACAAGGAGATCTTTCTGCGTGAGCTGATCAGCAACGCGTCAGATGCCTGCGATAAGATCCGCTACCAAGGCCTGACGGACGCGTCCGTGCTTGGCGAAGACACGCACCTGCGCATCCGTGTGATCCCTGACAAGGCGAGCAAGACGTTGTGTCTGGAGGATAACGGCATCGGCATGACCAAGGCGGACCTTGTGAACAACCTGGGCACCATCGCCCGGTCTGGCACGAAGGCGTTCATGGAGGCGCTGGAGGCGGGCGGCGACATGAGCATGATTGGTCAGTTCGGTGTTGGCTTCTACTCTGCGTACCTCGTGGGCGACCGTGTGACGGTAGTGTCGAAGAACAATTCCGATGAGGCGTACGTATGGGAGTCGTCGGCTGGCGGCACGTTCACCATCACACCAGCCCCGGACTGCGACCTGAAGCGTGGCACGCGTATCACGCTGCACCTCAAGGAGGACCAGCAAGAGTACCTCGAGGAGCGTCGTCTCAAGGAGCTCATCAAGAAGCACTCCGAGTTCATCGGCTACGACATCGAGCTGATGGTGCAGAAGACGACTGAGAAGGAGGTGACCGATGAGGACGAAGAGGAGGCCGTGAAGAAGGATGAGGAGGGCGCTGAGGGCGAGCCGAAGGTCGAGGAGGTCAAGGAGGACGAAGAGAAGGAGGAGAAGAAGAAGAAGACCAAGAAAGTCAAGGAGGTGACGACCGAGTACGAGGTGCAGAACAAGCACAAGCCGGTGTGGACGCGCGACCCTAAGGAGGTAACCAAGGAGGAGTACGCCGCCTTCTACAAGGCCATCTCCAACGACTGGGAGGATCCCCTGGCAACGAAGCACTTCTCGGTCGAGGGCCAACTCGAGTTCCGCAGCATCCTCTTCATGCCCAAGCGCGCGCCGTTTGACATGTTCGAGCCGAACAAGAAGCGCAACAACATCAAGCTGTACGTGCGCCGCGTGTTCATCATGGACAACTGTGAGGAGCTGTGCCCCGACTGGCTCGGCTTCATCAAGGGCGTCGTGGACAGCGAGGACCTGCCGCTGAACATCTCGCGCGAGAACCTGCAGCAGAACAAGATCCTCAAGGTGATCCGGAAGAACATCGTCAAGAAGGCGCTCGAGCTTTTCGAGGAGATCGCTGAGAACAAGGAAGACTACAAGCAGTTCTACGAGCAGTTCAGCAAGAACCTGAAGCTCGGCATCCACGAAGACTCCGCGAACCGCAAGAAGCTGATGGAGCTGCTGCGCTACTACAGCTCCGAGTCCGGCGAGGAGATGACGACCCTGAAGGACTACGTGACGCGCATGAAGGAGGGCCAAAAGGGCATCTACTACATCACCGGTGACAGCAAGAAGAAACTGGAGACATCGCCGTTCATTGAGGAGGCCAGGCGCCGCGGCTTCGAGGTCCTCTTCATGACAGAACCTATCGACGAGTACGTGATGCAGCAGGTACGCGACTTCGAGAACAAGAAGTTCGCCTGCCTGACCAAGGAGGGCGTGCACTTCGAAGAAACAGAGGAGGAGAAGAAGCAGCACGAGGAGGAGAAGACATCCTTTGAGAAGCTGTGCAAGTCCATGAAAGACATCCTCGGTGACAAGGTCGAGAAGGTGCAGCTGTCGGAACGCCTGTCAACGTCGCCGTGCATCCTCGTGACGTCCGAGTTCGGCTGGTCCGCGCACATGGAGCAGATCATGCGGAATCAGGCTCTGCGTGACTCCAGCATGGCGCAGTACATGATGTCAAAGAAGACAATGGAGATCAACCCGCGGCACACCATCGTGAAGGAGCTGAAGCGCCGCGTGGAGGCTGATGAGAACGACAAGGCGGCCAAGGACTTGGTGTACCTTCTCTTTGACACGGCGCTGCTGACGTCCGGCTTCAGCCTTGATGACCCTGTGGCGTACGCCGACCGTATCCATCGCATGATCAAACTCGGCCTGTCCCTAGACGAGGAAGAGGAAGAGGAGGAGCTCGCTAACGCCGAAAAGTCAGTCGAGGTTGCCGCCCCGGTTGAAGCTGTCGCCGCTACCTCCATGGAGCAAGTGGACTAAAGACGGGCGCACGTACCGCAATAAAGATGTATAAGTTGACCAGCACGTTGGAAGGTTTCTGTGGTAAGGTTAGAAACAATATTTGGGTATTTAGTTATAAATATCTTATTATATTTTAAAGCACTGATAATTAATCAAGACGTCGAAAGGGCCCCTGGCACAGGAGGAAAGGCATGCGGTAGATGCTTTGTCAGACTCTGATTGTCTTTAATAGAAATATTATTATTATTATTATTATTATTATATTATTATTATTGAATTATATGGTTGAAGATTGTTTACTATATATATATTATGTTTCGTTTTAGGACATCTTGATTTTCATATATTATTTAATCTTCTCTATATCTTCCTTATTTATTATTTTTTAATAGCATTCTGCTTTCATCTTATTTTCTATTCATAATTTTTTATTTTACGCTTACGCACTCACACCTTTTAATTTTAGTAGTTTGCAAGATAATTGATAAATGTCCTGTATTGATGTTGATGACTCTACCAGCGTGCATAGTCCTTCTGGAGTTATTATTGAAAAGAAGGCTTCTAGAAAGGAAAGGAAAAAGCAAGAAAAAGTTGCGAAATATGAAGAAGAACTTTGTCAATTGAGTGAGCGTGCTCAAAACGTCAATAAAGATGGTGATAATCCCTTTTCAGTCACCTTTGAAGTTTCTCAAGGTACGGAAGGGTCACGTAACATTACGTTTAATAAGGTTTCGACCTCTGTGAATGGTAAAACGCTCTTCAGGGATGCAACAGTGAACCTTTCGGCTGGTTCGCGCTATGGTCTAATGGGCCCAAATGGTCGAGGTAAATCTACGATTCTTCGACTCCTGGCCACACGGGAGCTCCCTGTACAGTCCAATCTGGACCTGCTTTTGGTGGAACAGGAACAAGAGTTCCACGCTACTGAGTTCAGTGCCGTACAGGCTGTTCTTAATAGCCACAAGAAGCAGGCAGCTTACATACAAGAGGCCAAAGAATTATGTCATAAAGAGAACCTTACCCAACAAGAGATGGATCGGCTTAATTTTATTGAGGAAGAAATGGACATTATGGGCACTTCCCAAGCTGATGCTAAGGCTCGCCGTATACTATTTGGCCTTGGATTTCCTACCGAGTGGCACGAACGTCCGACGAAGAGCTTTAGTGGCGGGTGGCGTAAAAGAATTGCACTAGCTTCGGCAGTATTTATTGAGCCTGATGTATTGATGCTGGATGAGCCTACTAACCACTTAGACTTGAATGCAGTGATCTGGCTTGAGTCTTACCTTTCTATGGCTTACAATGAAAACGCGAAGCGACCAAAAATTCTGGTTGTCGTATCCCACGATGCAGGTTTTTTGGATGAGGTGTGCACGCACATGGTACATATTGAGAGGTACAAACTCAACTCTTACAAAGGGGGATTCCACGGTTTTGAAATGCAACTAAAGCAACATCATCATGAATTCGATAAAAAATTCGAAACTATCACCAAAACCATAAATGACAAAAAACGCAATGGAATGTCGAAGGCTCAGATAGAAGAGTGGATCAAGGACAGAGTTAACAACGGCCATCTGGACCCCCTCTTTTTGGAAAAGAGGCGCGACTATATCGTGAGCTTTCCCTTCACTGCTCCGCCTGAGCTTCCCGATGTGTGTGTATGCAAGCTTGATAACGTATCATTCGGCTACCCTGGCTGTCCAGTTCTTTTTGAAGGAGTTAAGTGTGCTTTGTGGACTACAAGCCGCATCACCCTCTGCGGGCCTAACGGTATTGGCAAGAGCACATTATTAAATCTGATGACTGGTCTTCTTACACCTACGCATGGTTCTGTCACTGTAGACCGTCGTGTGCGTATTGCCCGCTACAACCAACACTTTGTGGACAAATTGCCACTGGAAAAGACACCGGTAGAGTACATCCAGACGCTAGGTATCGCCGCGGAGGACAAAGCACGACGTTTACTAGGGAGCTTTGGTCTAGAGGGAATTGTCCATTGCAACCAAATTGCTACTCTCAGCGGTGGCCAGAAGGCACGCGTCGCATTTGCTTCCATCAGTGCTGAAGTCCCACACTTTCTTTTGCTGGACGAGCCAACTAACCATCTGGATGTCGAGTCCATTGAAGCTTTATGTAAAGCGATTCGGATTTTCAAGGGTGGTGTGCTTGTTGTTACTCATGATGCACGCTTAATTGAGTCGACGGATATGCAATTGTGGGTGGCAGGGAACAAGACTGTTTCACCATTTAACGGAGACTTGAATAAGTACAAGGAATTGGTGCGATCCGAGTTTGCGAAAGAGGAAGCGCAAAGACTAGAGGAACAAAAGCAAGCACTCAAGGATAAGGAGTTGTCAAAGCAATTGAAGCAATCTGGTGTAAAGGATCTTACACAAGCCAAAGAGATGCTGCTTGCAAAGGAACAAGAAGAAATACGAACCGGACTGGATGATTTTTTTAAGAAGAAAGAAAAAAAGAAATCGAAACTCACCAAAGGTGGGCCTAAATAAATCCACTTAAACATAAGATAACGTGAATTCTACGTAAAATCATAAAAATAAAATGATGATGTTGTATATTTCACAAATGCCACTGAAGTAAGTGACATGTTTTCAACTTTTATTTTTTAGACAATAATGCGCTCTTTCGTCCGTGAATCTTTTCAAAAATAAAAACGAATGTGCGCTTAGTTCATTTTAGTGCAGAGTGGGGGGTGCCGTAATCCAAAAACAAACCCCAGGCGGGATTCGAACCCGCAACCTTTTGCTTAGGAAGCAAACGCCATATCCATTAGGCTACAAGGGCGGCTACAAATTTAATTCATTATAGAATTTGAATAAAAAAGGGACTTGAAAGAAAATTCCGGTGCCGGGGATCGAACCCGGGTCTAGCGGGTGAGAGCCGCTTGTTCTAGCCACTATACCACACCGGACATGCGGGTGGATTTTGAAGCCCTTACGAACAGACGCAGGGAAACTAGTTCAGAAACTTACTCCAGGCGGGACTCGAACCCGCAATCTTTGGATTAGAAGTCCAAAGCCTTGTCCATTAGGCCACTGGAGCGGTGTGGACCCCTGAAAGTATGTGTAAGTTTTTGCTACATTTTAAGTTTCTAAATTACTGGCTGCGAGGGCGTGTAGCTCAGTGGTAGAGCGCCTGTTTTGCATACAGGAGGCCTAGGGTTCAATCCCCTACTCGTCCACTTTTCCGCATTAGGTTTTATACGATATTCGCCAAAGCTTGCGAAGCATGTCGTTACCTGATTTCTGCACCTTCTTGATGCGCTATGAACTATGGACGTCAAATTTCCGAGCATCGACCACCATTGTAAAACCTGATGGTCCTTGTTTGCTTCAAAGAATCGACGCAATCACTTTTAAAGACTGGATTACTAATTTTTTTAAAGTCTTTTTTATACAACTAGACCAATCCTGTAAATAATAATTGGCAAATGAAAAGTGCCGAAGAGCCCATTTTTAGGAGTGGAATAATTATAATTTCACCTTTTAAAAAAAGTGTCTCGGCTTTTTTATTCCGTTTGAGTAATAAATTTTTAGGATTCACATTGCCAAAAGGCGGTTTATATAATTAACTTCGGTTTATTACATGTTTTTTTTTTACTAAACGAATTCTTCCACTGTTTTATGATTATTCACAAAAAAAAATTGGGGAGGGGTGGATATAGTATCAGATTAAAAACAATCTCATAATAGGCAAATTGCCGAAATTTTTATTTATACCTCAAATGTTAAATTTCAAATCCTTATCGAGCACCTATACTTATAACGGTTCGATTGCAGTTAATAAGAAACTATGGGAAAATAGAAATATTATAATCAATTTAAAATAAAATTCTTCACAAGGAAACCAATGGAAATTTATTTTAATTGAAATAATATTTTCACTCTAAAAATTACGATTTACTAATATTAAACAAGATTTTTAACAAGGAGCAAGTTGTTATATCTATAAATTATAGTCGTTAAGTTGAAAATATAACACTGCCAAGCTCAAACTTTTATGATAAATCTATGAAACTTGAAAAACCTCAACAATTATTAAGCAGAAACTGAAATTATTTATAAATATGAAGTAAATCCGAATAAAAAACAGGTACTTTTATATATTCCAATATAAAATAAACTAAAATAAGTGTCAAATGGAAAGTGTTCAGTTATAAATTTTTTTAGTCTATTACGAATAAGCTCAAAAAACGCCATAATTCATTCACCTTGGCGTATGCCACGTATATGGGAAATTTTCTTTTTTTTCAATAAATAATATATTTCCCCATGATCCAAGGATATTAAAAAGTGTCTTTTTTAATATACGGTTAATGAATCATAATGATTAATTGATGGTGAAAAATTTTATTTTATTATTAATAATACCCTTTTCGTAATAATTCTGAGTTTCTGAAAATAGCAAATAATTGCCCAAGGTTTGTTTCCAAAGCAACTCGCGCATTTCATAATCTTTGAATCATGCATTTTCAATACCCCCTATTTAAACAATCATTGGACCAAGTTCAACCATCCGAACCGTATTTCAAATATGGATTACCCTCGATATATTTTTAGAAAAAAATCGAAAAAGGTTATTATATCGATCACTAAATATTTTATGTTGGTTTACTATATGAAATATGGATAAAATTGGAAAAAAAGTTATTAATCTCGCTTTGGCTTTTCCACATGGCCTTAAATTCGGATTATTTTGTAACAATTTACAAAATAATAATATCAACAATACTATTGTTTTTGTTAAACTAATTAAAATATAGAATAAAAATATAGTTTTTAGCAAACATTAAACTTACCCCAGCTCGCTTCATAATATTATACTGCTCAACAAATTTATTGCCATTGCGAAAAATTCAAATAAAATCCATCCCCGCGATTGACACACATGTAAAAAATATATAAATATATATTGGGATACTTGAAAATCCAAACAAATTTATATCAATCATCCATTTTCCTTGAGTCGGCGATGATGTTGAGATTTTTTTTGCATAAACCATATGTTGCATTGACATCGAATTTGCTCATCTTTGTGGAGACCCTCCGCCTCAAAACGGCAATATTTGTAGAGCCATCATATTCCATGATTATTGAGTAAAATTGAAGTTCTGATATATATATTTTTTAAATACCATTCTAGAAAAAGCTAATATTTCACAAACATGTCAAATTTAATGCGCATAAACTGGGCGAGTTTTTGGTTGAAGGCCATTAAAACCCATCGCGAAATTGCCACCCGGTGAGCTTTAAAGATAAAACTAAAAAAAATTCATAGAGTTATAACACGCAAGCTTGGCGTGTCATCTATAATAAAACAGGGTCATCAACTTGCATTAATTATGCTTTGGATTTTATTTATATTTTCCTTTGTTGTAAAAAATAGGTTTTCAATGTTCCCATAAAATCCTTGGGGTAAATCCAATTTGCCAAACCCACGGGGTTCGAAAAATGAGCATTGGCTATGATTTTGACAGCCCCCTCAAATTTTTATATCTACAAATAAATAAATTATAGCTTTTATTTTATCCTTGGATTATATATATGCATTTGGATTGTGGACATAATAATTTTAACGCGCCATATTTTCGAAACCTTCCGAAAAGACCCCCAACTTTGCCCATTCGCCGAAAGGGAAAATCAAAAACCACCGCTGATCTCGATCATGGGCGCAGTTCCCCCTCCTCAATGTAATTGGTGTATAACTTTTTATTTATCTATGTTGACAAATTTCCGAATAAATTTTTTATATTGATCGGTGTTGTCGGGTTTTATTAACCTTATAAACCTTTGGATCTTCCGATCTTTTTTTTTAATATATTTCCGAAAACGCCTGGGTTGATTTATTTCCGAGGTCTAAAAACCAGGGCCATCCCCCACAGTCTCATAAACAGGACGTGGCGATAAATTGTATTAGGAAGCCATCGCTTCCCAAATAAGAACCACACCTTCGAACTGGGTATTCTTCTTTCTGTATTGATGGCTTCTTTGTTGTTTGTTTTAATCCACCAATAAGTCTAACATTTTTCAAGCATCCTTAATTCGTTTCCATATCGCGTGAATTGTGTGCCTTTTTTATTTAATACCAGGGGTATTTCTGGTATTCCTTGTTTGGTGGACCGGGATATTTTTCACAAACTCACAAGAACAGGCGTTAAATAAATCTGCATTGAACTGACAAATTTTCGACCAAAAAGTTAATTCGGTCATCGTTTAAAACGCCTAAAAGTTGTTTAAAATCTATGGTAAGCGAAACCTTTAAGAGGGGTCACATCGTTTGTTTATGAACCCATGTGAACTCTATTGGTTTACCCTTTTTCCTTCCGAAATGCGCTGGAATGCGGGGCCCCTATTTTTATTTCTATTTTAAAATGGTATTTCCTGAGCGGGACTTGGGTTATTTTCATTTTTTGTAATTATTAATATTTTTATCCCAATTAAATAAGTATTATATGCTGGGGCGTTTGGCGGTTTTTTTTTACAAAGACACATCTTTTCATAATCCAAATAATCTAGTCTTTTTTGGATTGTGGGTGAAATAGGGTTTATTTATGGCCCAGCTTATTCCAGGTTAAAAAATCTCCATTTCGTTTACTATATTGGAATCAAAGAAGCCAAAGTTAACATGAAATTTTAAGATTTAAATGCTTTATTTTTTTTTTTACTTTAAAAGAATTTCATGTTATTTTGGTCTCAGGTTTAGGGTAACGAAGGGCTGAAGCGTGCGCCTTTAAATGGTTATTTTAACGGCGCTTTTATTAAATCCGGGACTTCCTATGGCTCCCTCAAATTGTGTTTTTATTTAACCCAAAATCCAAACGTTTTCTGTACATCTTTTTCTGGTTTTCAGTCCACGATAAACGATTTTGTTAAACACAATGAGCACTCATATTACTTGATCGTAAAATTAAATTTTCACATCGTGAATGTACTTTGTTAGGCAAATCATCCTTAACAACGCTATTATGCTGATGGGATTTTCTAGTGACAAAAAACAAAATCTTCACCTTGGATTTTTAGGATATCATACTAAAATTTCTATTAATTCGTCCTAATTTTTTACACTATTTTTATTAATGTTAAAACGTATAATTATCAAAAATCTGTCCCTTGAATATACATTAATTTGTATTCGTTTCTGTAAAGTGTTTCCTATCCCTAGTGCACTTTTTTGACAATGATGGAGTCATTTTTTTGGATAACCCTAATTTGCCTTTTTGCTACATAATTTGCAACTGTAATTAGGCTTTTAAATTAAGATTTGTCGCTTTTTGTTACTCGTATTCACCAGTTTTTCATTTTGTACCCTGAGTATCTTAATTTCATTATGTATACTTAGAAAGCGTATCTTTTCAACATTTTTTAAAAATCTGCTTTATTATTCTAAACGTTAACTATTTCTGCCGTTTATGTATATATTTTTTCGCCTGTAAATGCACCATGGATAAATCTATTTACGCTGATCCTAAGGCTGTTTTAATGTTTTTTTTCAAACTCATTTATTTCATCATATTCATAATCCACTGTATTATTATCGAATGTTTTTTGCATAGTAGACCTATTATCATATAATACCGCGAAGTTACTCTAACCTTGTTTATTGTTTTTTGTCTAAATACTTGTACTTGTTTATGACATCATATCAGGTGTTTACCTTTAAAAACTACACCTTGAAGAAACACAATAGCCAAACAGTTGTGTTAAAACTATTCCATAGTTCCTGTTTCTACAATATCGACTTTGTAGGCTTCATCTGTCTGACTAGCACCATACATCTTATCACCACTGTACCTATAACGTTGGTATTATCATCCCTGAACTAAAATCATTTTGACAAGTTGCTTTTTTTTTCAGAACTTTCTGAAGTTGTTGACCTGTTTTGTCTATGCATCTTAGTTATTTAGTGAAAATTCAATGACTCGTAGGTTTCATTAGATTTTTTTAGCCAAAAAATCCAAAAAATTAAATAAGCTTCTTATCATGTGGAAAGAACGGAGTCTTCAGGAAATTTAATCGCAACCAAAACAGTATAACTACGAAGACAATAAAACATTTGTAATATTAGATAACATAAAAGGGTTTAAAGATTACAAAGGAGCAAAATTTTCGATCAGTGGGAGAATTATACAGTTTTAGCATAAAATTTTGATTTTAAAATTCTAAAAGTTGTTGAATTTATCTAGGACTTCTTGCTGATTCTCCTCAATCAAAACTTAAATTTTCATCTTATGGCGTATACGTCTATTAGAAGACGTATTTTTCACGAAAGAGGTGGGTTAGGTACCCCTAGTATTAAACCTGAATATTTAACAAACAAAGACTTCTTTTTGGGTACAATTACTTTTTAAATTACTTTATTTTTGAATTGTACTGTTTTATAATTGCTTTCCTTAATATATATTGTAAGTATACCTTTAATATTATGTATTCATTTTTTACTATGAATTTATCATACCTTTTTTTATTTCACATAGAGCAACAAATCATTTGGCGTGTCTATTTTCGTGTTTTTTTCTAAATTTTAATAACACAACAATTAGTATTTACATTTATTATTATTATTACTAGAGCAAATACACATTTATGAAGCCTATTACATATTAAGTCACTTTTCAATTATTATCATTATCTTCACGAATGGATTTTCGTCGGAGTTTATATGAAGGATACAAATTGCTTCACAACAAGTTATATAAAGCCAAGAGTGTCAGCGACTTTGAAACTACTGGAAAGCTTACTCCCAAAGAATTTGTTGATGCCGGAGATGAACTGACGCAAAAGACTCCGGTTTGGCAGTGGGTGGGTGGATCGGAAAACGTTCAAGAGTACTTACCGGCTAATAAAAAATGTTTGGTATATCATCGTGCATCTTGCTTACAACGTGCTCCAAATGGTAATAATCTCATAGAAAGCATGGAGGAAGTAGGTGAGGATGGCTTTGTGCTGACTAAAGCTGCACTGAGTCAACCGGTAACAGCATGTCCAGATGAAAAGGTAATTACCTGGGACGATGATGATGATATTGGTGATAAAACGGATGACGATGAGGTGGTATTACCTCCTGCTTATGATAACAAGCGCCGCGTATATGATGTTTACATTGTCTATGATAAGTATTATGAAACTCCTCGCATCTATTTAGTTGGTTACTCTGGAGACCATATGACACCACTTACAACCAATCAAATGAAAGAGGATGTTTATCACTCCAATTACGGAAAAACTGTGACGATTGATTCGCATCCTGTCCTCGGTATACCATGTATAAGTATTCATCCTTGCAGACATGCTGAAACAATGTCTCGCCTAATAAAATATATGAAACTCAAACACGAAGCGCAAAACAAAAATACAGACAAAGAAAAAATCTTTCAATTTCCGGTTCATTTAGCACTTTTCCTATTTTTAAAGCTTATATCCTCAGTCGTTCCTACAATTCAGTATGATATTTCCGTAGGATTTGATATTTGAATTATTTTATTATACTCCATGTCTAAAAAATAAATAAATAAATATATATTAAAGTGTACAAAGTAATTTAGTGGAAATATATATATATATAATGACTAATCAAATTTCTATTCTTTCCAAATAAAAAATTAGCTTTAAATAGAAATATAAAAAAGGCTCATTGTATTCATAACAAACAAGATAAAAAATAACATGCTAAATTATAAAATAGCTCTAAAAACTTCTGAAAAACGTTATAGACAAAAATATAGTTGTATTGATATTCTTCAGCGAAGCAGGACCCCCACCAGACCCTTGGATGATGCATACGCTAATATGGAATTACCATCTGATTCAAACATAGTGAGGATAATGTGCTATGTGCATAAACCTAAACTGTTACTCAAATCTCCTGACTGTGTGGTCTCTGTGGGGGTCTGCGTACGCTGTTTTACTGCGCTTTCTTTTGTATTCGTGGTGCGCATTATCTACCACGTTGGCAGTATCGCTTCCTTTATTGTGGCCAGATGGCCTGCCGAGAGAGGTGTGCGCCAATCCCGTTTTACAGATTCGAGGAGAGGGGCGCTGGTATGGGATGGACTAGGGTCGGGTATTTTTTTGATCTTCACCCAGGTTCTTTCACTCAGCTGCGTTTCTCTTCCCCTTTAGGTCAATTGGTGCTTCTGAGGGAGTTGCTTCGTTTCTGTCGCATTGACGCGTCTTGCCTGTATGGGTTCACAGAATCGTTTGACAAATGATGAGGTGCAGAAACCTGCCAGAGCGCAGTGCCACGTAGCCTTATTGGAGCAATGCGTGTATCACAAACATTCTGTATGTATTGGGTGAACAATCTCTGAGTCACACTTGACCAGGCAAGCAGACCGTTTTCTCTTACCTTCTCCTCCTCTTTTTTTCTTTTTTTTTAAATATTGCCTTTCCCAGGAGCTTTGTGTGCCAGAAAGCATTGGTCTTATTTTTTTGACTGGATTTTCAATTTTTTAAATTAAAAATACTTGTATTTTTTAACTTTTTTTATACTATTTCTATAATGAAATTGGTGTATTTCTTAATTACTCCTTCATCTATCTTTCTATTTATATATTATAGACAATTTACTAGTTTTTATTTAAATTTAGATTTCAATTTTATATTATTTAGTCCTGAGCTCTTTTATCTATATATTTTTTTCATCATTGTATAATTATGCTTTTTTTTGGAGAGTTGCTGCACCATCGAGCACCCGGATCGCTGATTTGCTTTGCTTTTCTATTCATTTTCCTTATTTCTGCAAATTTACCAATTATCAGTGCAGTCTCCAATGATAAAAAAAATATATGGATTAACGGCTCTGCAGCCCTGTGGGCGACTATTGATAAGGATGAGATCTGTGCAAAAATAGTACTGGAGACAAATCTACAGGGGCTATTTGATTTCAAATGCAGTGCAATTCCCCACATTGCCTCAAATTTCCACAATGGGGACAACACTCCTTTCATGGCAAATGGGATCGGCCTTGATCTAAATATCTCAAGTACTAATACCTTTAATGCAAAATTTGATCTCGTTGATAAACTTGTCAGCTCTAAGCTTCCCTATTTAAATAAACTGGTACTATCTACGTTTGGGAAGCCAGTCAAGGCTTTTATCGACTTGCCAACCACTGAACTCTACATAAAGGACACCACGATTGGCATCAGTCAGCCCACCAAATTCTGGGAGTCGTACTTGCGTATCTCAAAACCGTTGATACCAAAGGAAGATATGTTTCAGGAACCAGATGAGGTCCTGAAGTATATGCCGACCGACCTTCAGAATGCCTTGCAGGCCGATAATTCACACTATCAGATCATGCCGACGTCGATGTGGAGCAACTCGACCGGTACCTACATCAATTACGCAGTGTATGCCGCCCCCATGAACCAAATACCCAACAACTTGAGGCTGAGTCCCGTGCAGGTGCATGACCGGCTTCTGGGAAGCCCTCTTCCGATATTTGGGACCGAGCTCGCGAGTTTAATCAAGCGAAACCCGAGGTTTTCAGAATTACGCAATAAAA